GGAGAATTCCCATCTTTCTCCATTGTAGTTGCTGATGGATTTGAACTGAGTACCGTTGAGTTAGCAGCACAATTTCTTACACACTGGGCTACCAGAGCACCTTATAGTTTTAAGTGGTATTACGGTAAAAGGTGTTATATCAGCAGAATAATGGACAACATAACTTTGATTGGGGTCTAGATCACTGAAGGCTGCTTTAAGAAAGTATTATTTTTCAAAAAGAAAGTATTATTAAAATTTAGGTCTGTTAAAACAACTATGAGATTTCATCTCACTCCAGTAACAATAGCAAAATTCAACAGAGCAGCAAACAACAAATGCTGGCAAGGTTGTGGAGAAACTGGAACCCTTATTCACTGTCGGTGGGAGTGTAAATTTAGGTCTGAAATAATTTAAGTAAAAATCAGAGAGCTCTGGAGGCCAGGTGGCAAGAAGCTGCACTGCAATATCTAAGGCATATGGTTCAAATCTAGGAGCTGTTCCGCAGAAGAGATAGTCAATCTCCTTCTATGTGATTAACTGCCTCTGAAAATCCAGTGATGGTCAGCTATGGCTTGGTTCTGACTCGACAACACACAACAAAAGCAAATATGTTTGTGGTACAAAATAAAGAGCCTTTGTGGCATACTGTTTTACTGGCCAAAACTGACCATACCAAGTGTGGTCAGACACCTGGCAACTGGGATTCATAGACACTAATTAATCTATGCCAGTTCCTTGGCGTGAGGGTGGGAAATTTTCAGTCATGTTCTAATGTGTTCCAGAGAATCAGAGAAAGCAGGCCTGCTGAGGAGAGTGAAACAGCTCTTCATTGAGAAGTAGAGAACTAAAGAGAAAAAAGGAGATATTAAAAGGATGGGCCTAGGCTTCTCAATGACATTTAAAGTTATTGTTTCCTTGTTCTAGTTCTTCATGAGATCTTTTAGCTCCCTGTTATCTTGGGTTCTATAAGTATTTTCCTCATTTGAAAATCTGAGTTTCTGTTACTCACAGATACAAGAGCTTTCACTAAAATAGTAGATTTTACTAGATTATCTTTGCTCTAATTTTAGTCTTTTTGGAGGTAGGTTTCATGAGAACAGACAAAACTGTGGCAAGAGTTTTCACTTTTTATGCAGGAGATTCGAGTTGATTCTCAGTCAATACAGCCACCAGTCAGTGGAGGACTTGTGTGTTGCTATGATTTGGAACAGGTTTCAGTAGATAGAGCTCAGACTAACACAGATTAGGCAGAAAGACCTGGTGATATGCTATATGCAATAGAATCAGTCAATAAAAACCTTAAGGATTATGAAGAGCACTCATATAAACCATAGGGCCTAACAAAAACAATAGCATCATAATGGAGATGATGAATACAGACCTCAGCAGAATCTTGAAAAGCCCAGAGATTCAGAGGGCCCTCCGAGCACCACGCAAGAAGATTCATCGCAGAGTCTTGAAGAAGAACCCACTGAAAAATCTAAGAATCATGTTGAAGCTTAATCCATATGCAAAGACGATGCGCCGAAATACCATTCTGCGCCAGGCCAGAAATCACAAACTCCGGGTGGCTTTGGTGGTTAAAGCACTGGTGGCCATATCTGATAATAAGAGGGCTCCTCCAAGCAAGAAGCCTGTGGTAGGGAAGAAAGGAGCAGAGAAAGCTGCTGTTGATGTGAAGAAGCCCAAGAAGCCTGCAGTGGGCAAGAAGGCTGCAGCGGGAAAGAAGCCTACAGCCACCAAGAAACCAGCAGCTCAAAAGAAGCCTGCAGCATAAACTCAAATTCTCCATTGGAACAGCTTATTTTAAATAAATATCTAATCAAAAGGCAAAAAAAAAATAGCATCATAATGGAGATTATGTGGACAGAGGAAATAGGGATCACTTCTGCCTTAGCAAGTTTGGGAGACATTATTTTAGAGGTAGTGGAAATGTGGTAAGCTAAATAGAGAAAGACTATTTGGGACAGAAGTTAAATTCACAGTGATATTAAAAAAGCAAGGAATGGCAACAAGGGACTCAAGTGCAGTAGATGTAGAGGAGAAGGATGGGGAATGAAACCTTAAGTGTAGACTGGAACCAAATTATCTAATTTAAAATTAGGGGTTTGGGACCCACTGCTATATGCTGTTTGGTAATCTGTTGAGCTTCTAGAGGGCTTCAGAAATGCCTGGTACATACTGAGTACTCATGCTTGCTGAATATAAGTGGCAAACAGCTTGGTAAACAGATTAGCCACCCCCATTTTTTTAACAATAACTTTTAAAATGGATTTTTGTCTTTTGGTTTCCTTCTCCATATATGAAAGGAAATCATTAAAGTGTAAATAGTGTCCCAATTTCAGTTAATGCCTTTACTAAGTCTGTAATGAATGCGACAATTTTCTGTTTAAAGGATGATTTACAGGGTCTAATGAGAGCGTTTGTTGTTTGTTGTTGTTATGTGCCATCATTTGCGACTCATAGCGACCCTATGTACAACAGCCCTAAACCCTGCTCTATCCTGTGCCAATCTCATTGCCCCCGACACACCCATCCCAATTACCCAGTCACTGAATCAATCCACCTCATAGAGGGTCTTCTACTCCTGCGCTGTCCCCCTACTCTACCCAGCATGATGTCCCTCTCTAAAGACCTGTCTTTCCTTACAACATGTCCAAAGTATGTCAGACGAAGCCCCAGAATCCTTGCCTCCAAGGAGCAGCGTGGTTTAATCCTTTCTACG